GCCTTGTGCAAAATGAGGATCTACAAGCTCGGGGGCGGGTGAGACGGCTCAGGTCATAAAGGCACTTGCTGCCAAGCCTGACCTGACTTTGATCCTGGAGACCCACATGGTGGAAAGAGAAAACACACATACATACATTGCTACTATTCACCCATTATTACCTGAATGTTTACTAAATATTTATTGCAAATGAGCAATAGTCCCAGCATTGGACACGGCTGTGAGCAAAATGTAAAGGAATTCACATTCCTGTTTGTTCGTTTGTACACAAGGCCTGGCTTCAAATCCCATGCAGGGGCTGGAGAGATGGCTCAGTGGTTAAGAACACTGGCTGTTCTTGCAGAAGACCAGGGTTCAAATCCCAGCACCCACATGGCAGCTAACAACTGTCTGTAACTCCAGTTCCAGGGGTCCTCTGCAAGACCAGCCAGTGCTCTTAATAACAGCCATCTCTCCAGCCCCCACTGTCACACTCTTAAATGTATTTATAAAGGAGGAGGGAAAAATATCTTAGGAGATTTGTATCACAAAAATAAAAATCTTTGAACATTTAAAAATTATTCTTATTTTATGTAGATATGAGGGCCTGCATGTATGTATATGCATGACAAGTGTGCTTGGTGCCCACAGAGGCTAGAAGATGACTTCATTTGGATCTTTAGGAACTGGAATTACAGGCAGCTGTCGGCCACCATGTGGGAGCTGGGAAATGAACCTTGGTTCTCTCTGTAAGAGCAGCCAGTGCTCTTAACCACTGAGTCATCTTTCTAGCCCCTAAATAAAATCATTTATGGAAAAAAAAGAAGCAGCTACAAAATAGCTAGAAAAGAAGAGATTTTACTATAAAAATGTTGCATTCAGGCAGGGAAATTTCCAAATACAGCAAACAGTTCCTGGTGTAGCCAAACAAAACAAAATGGATCTTCCTTCAGTTCATTTACTGTCTTAACCAAACTAGTATAACAAAATAACAAACTTGGGGAACTTAAACATTTATTTTTAATTTTTTGTATTTCTGAGACAGGGTTTCCCTGCAGTCCCAGCTGGCCTGGAACTCACTATGTAGACCAGGCTGGCCTTGATCTTACAGAGATCCTCCTGCCACTGCCTCTCGAGTGTTGGGATTAAAGACATGTGTCACCATGCCTAGCTTTAAATATTTATATTTTTTCAAGTATTTTATTTCTACGTTATGTGTATGCGTGTATTGCCCACATGCAGCAAGTGCACCTGTGTCGTGCAACGCCCGAGGAGGGCTGTCAGATCTCCTGGAACTGGAGCCACAGACAGCTGTCAGCTGCCATATGGGTGCTGGGACTTGAATTCAGGTCCTCTGGAAGAACAGCCAGTGTCCCCAACCACTGAGCAATCTCTCCAGCCCCCCCATCATTTATTTTTTGGTCTTTTTGAGACAGGGTCTCCCTGTAGCCCCAGCTGTCCTGGAACTCACTATGTAGACCAGGCTGGCCTTGAACTCAGAGATCTGCCCGTCTATGCCTCCCGAGAGCTGGGATTAAAGGCGTGCGCCATCACGCCTGGCTTACGTTTATTTTTTTAAGGTAGGGAGTGGTGGTCCACACCTGTCATCCCAGCAGTTGATGGAGGCAGAAGGATAAGGAGTTCAACGCCAGCCTTAGCTAAATAGTGAGTTTGAGGCCAGGCTAGACTGCATGAACACTGTCTCAAAAATGGTTTTCTTTTCTTGGTTCTAGATGCTGGGAAGTACAAGATCAAGGTGCTGGCAGATTCAGTGCTGGGGCCAGGCCCTCTTTCTGGTTTGCAGACCATCACCACTTGGCTGTGGTGGCTTTTCTCATGTGGAAAGAGAAATTTCTGGCACATTTTTATAAAGGCATGAATTCCATCAGGAAGGGCCAACCCCATTACCTCCCAAAGAACCTACCTCCAAATTCATTGTGGATTAGGGCTTCAACATGTGAATTGGAGGGGGGAGTAATAAAACATTTAGCCCATAGCAGCATAATATTGAATTTCTAGAAACTTCAATGTTTATGAAAACCAAGTAATTGTAAATATTTCAGGTTCATGTGCAAACTAAATTTAGTTTCTTGGCACATACTGTTAGATGGTGCAGGCGGCGCCACAGAGGATACTCAAAAGCCACTCAAATGGGATCTGATGCCCTCTTCTGACCTCCATGGGTGCACTTACACACATGCAGGCAATACACTCATACACATAAAATAATAAAATATTTAAAAACCCAACAACCTGGCCAGGCATGGTGGCGTTCTCCTTTAATCCCAGCACCCAGGAGGCAGAGGCATGCAGATCTCTATGTGAGTTCAAGGCCAGCCAGCCTGGTCTACATGGTGAGTTCCAGGCTATCTGGGGGGCTACAGGGAGACCCTGTCTCAAAAAGATGAAAAAAAAAAAAAAAACCCCAAACCCAACAACCTGTTATCCTAGCACTCGGGAAATGAAGGCAGGAAAATCAGCAGGTCTTCAGGGTCATGATCAGTTACATAGGGAGGCCAAGATCAGTCTGGGACACTCTAAAAAAAAAAAATAAGATCAATAATAAAAGAAAGGAAAGAGATTAAAAACCCCAAACTCCCAATTGACCCTAGAGGGCAGCACCGCTCCACTACAACCACAGCGAGACCTGTTCTGCCAGTCTCTGGAACAATGCCTGAACTCTCAAGCACTCAGGAGGCTGATGGGAGTTTGAGGCCAGCCTGGGCTACAGAGTAAACGCTTTTCTCAAACAACAACAAAAGAGCTGCCCAATATTGTAAACACCCATAGGTGGCTTATTAAGTTTAAATTAATATTAAAAATGCTTTGGACACACTTCAGAGGCTTAAAAGTCTGATATATTCACATGTGCCAGCAAAGGTTCAATGACAGTCTCATGTTGACTAAGACATGTGGAAAGAGAGCTAGTCATGTTGTCTGTGATGGGGGAACTTGGGGGTTCAGGGTCTGAGTATGGTCCCTGGTGCCCATCCTCCTTGGGAATCCCCAAGCTCTGTCGTCCCCAGCAGATAAAATGAGGTGTATGGCAAGATGTGGAACAGCATGGATCCCTGAGACTGGGCCCAGCAGTACCATGTGAGCTTCCTTCCATTCTCCAGGGAGCAACTGCTCAGCCTCCTGATGAGGCAGTTCCATTCCAGCCCCACAGAAATGGGGACTTTGTTGTTCTCAGTCCAGATGGACTTTTGCACCTTGTTCCACTACCAGTGTCCTGGCCCACAGCAGGTGAGGACAACCTTTTGGCCCTGTTATAAATGTTTGCTGACTGGCTGAAACTGGGTCTTGCTATGTAGCCCAGATGCCTCCTGCCTCAGTCTCCCAAGTGCTGAGTGTTGGGATTACAGGTGTAAAGCACCATGCCTAGCACAATCCATATTTCCCAAGTCTCAGGAACACAGACATCTGGGACCTGCTGCCTAATGCAATATAAAAGATCAAAGGCAGGATTCAAATAATGCCATTAAAGGTGACACTTAGGTGAAGATGCAAGATGCTTTCCCATGACTCCTACAGTTCCCACAGCATCTTGTGGCACTGGTAATGTGGCCATTCTCATTTGATAGATCAGAAACTGAGGTGCAGAGAGGTGAAGTGACTTATCTAAGCTTCTATTGCTGGTAAGTGGCAAAGATGGGACATGAAAGTCAGGCCTGCATTCCCTCATGCTGTTAACCAGTGTATACCAGCATTGCCAAGCAGGATCCACAAACACAACTGGTAGTGCTACAGGACTGTCTCAGGGAACACCAGGATGGTCACATTATTATCAAGACTAGACCTTGCTATGTTGTCTAGACTGGCCTCAAAATGTTGACTCGAGGCTAGTTAGAAGCACTGGATGCTCTTGCAGAGGACCAGGGTTCAGTTCCCAGTACCCACATTGCAGTTAACAATCCCTAACTCCAGTTCCAGGTGATCTGATGCCCTCTTCTGGCCTCCACGGGCACTGCATGACATGGGTGTACTTAACTTTCTTGCAGCCAAAACACTCATACATTTAACATTAAAAAAAAAAAATTAAATGTTGGCTTCAATCAAACCTCCTCTCCCTCTCATGTAGCCCTGGATGGCCTGGAACTCACAATGTACACTTGTAGACCAGGCTGGCCTCTATCTAAGAGATCCCTGTCTGCCTCTGCCTACCAAGTACTGAGATTAATGAAAGTGCTCCACCACTCCACTCCTTCTTTTTGGATCCCATTTAGCTCAGGCTGCTGACCCTGGACTTGCTATGTATTCGAGGATGACCTTGAACTCCTCCTGATCCTCCTGTCTCCACCTCCCAAGTGCTGGGATCACAGGTTTGCATCATGGCACCCAGCTTTTGTCTGTTTCCAGTGCTGGGGATAAAGCTGAGGGCCCAATCCTCATGTCTCACTATAAATCCCAGGTCAGTTATGAACTTGGGATTCTCCTGCTTCCTGAGTGCTGGAATTATAGATATACATTACATCTGGCCTGGAATGCCCTATACATTCATAAATACATATATATATGTACGCACACACACATAAAAATTTCAAAGTGGGCTTGTATAGTTTTTCTTTTTCTTTTTTTTGTCTTTTTGAGACAGGTTCTCCCTGTAGCTCCAGCTGGGCTGGAACGCACTATGTAGACCAGGCTGGCCTTGAACTCACAGAGAGCCACCTGCCTCTCTGCCTCCTGAGAGCTGGGATTAAAGGCATGCACCAAGATGCCTGGCTTATTTTTAAAATATTTTATTTTTATTTTTTATGTGTATGAGTGTATTGCCTGCATGTATGTAAGTGCACCTGTGTATGTAAGTGCAGTGCCTGCATGTAAGTAAGTGCAATGCCCTCTGAGGCCAGAAAAGGGCAATGGATCCCCTGGAACTGGAGTTATGGATGGTTGTTTGCTGCCATGTGCGTGCTGGGAACCAACCTGGGTCCTCTGCAGAGCAGCCAGTGCTCTTAACTGCTAAGCCATCTCTCCAGCCCCTAATATTTCTATTTTCAGTTTCAGGAAGAATGCACAAGAGGTAAAGTGACAAAATAAGCATTTATTAGAAGGGCATAAGGCTGAGAGGAAACTCTTCAACACCAGCTTGTAAGAGGAAACTCCTCAGCACCAGCTTCCCCCTTGTTGTAGGGAAGCAAGGCACTGGCTTGTCCCACCTCCCAGCCTGGCAGGGAAGATCTGGAACAGAGCTCATAGATATCTGACCTGCTCATCTGGTGGTAGCTCAGTGTCCTGTGCCTGAGCAACCAATGTCAAGGGAGACTGCAGAGGAAGTTATGCAGAGGCAAGGCCAGGATACCTGACAGGGAGATGCCCAAGGTGTCAGAAATACAAGCAGCCTCCATGGCAAATTCTCGGTGTTTGTCACTGGTCTGGGAGGGCAGAAAAAAGGGTTAGGCTTCCATCTTCAAGACTCCTGTCCTGGACTCTTGAGGCCACCCACAGTCCTCTCCCACCTAGTACAGACCTCCAGTGCAATGTTATGGAAGGTGTTCACGTAGGCAGCACCACCCAGGAGCCCTTCATACAGAACGATGAGGAAGACGAGGTAGATGTTTGGCAAGAAGCTCATATACACATCTGCCAGCAGGAAGGCCAGGTTGAGGCACTGTGAGCAGAGGCAGAGGGAGGTTTGAAGCTGGCACAGTAGAGCAGGGAGGTGGAGGGTCTCAACCAGAAGTGCCTGGTTGTAGGAGACACTGGGTGAAGGAGAGGGATAATAGGCCTGGGTAAGAGGCCAACACTTAGCTGGGCCTGTGTGACCCTGAGGTGTGGTAGGGCTTCTTCAGCTCCATCCCTAGCAGGGCACACCTTGTAGATCCCTCCCCTTCCCATTCCCATCACTCCTAGCCTGGACTGCTCCTCAGCCTTCCCTAACTGGAGATTTTTTTTTAAAAAGTATTTTTATTTTATGTGTACGAGTGTACTGCCTGCATGTATATAAGTACACCCATGTCATGTAATGCCCACGGAACTCAGAAGAGGGCTTTGAATTTCCCTGGAACTGGAGTTACGGATGGTTGTTAGCCACCATGTGGGTGCTGGGAATCAAACCCAGGTCCTCTGCAAAAGCAGCCAGTGCTCTTAACCATTGAACCATCTCTTCAGCACCCCCGTTTTAAAAAAAGGCCTGAACAAGCTTGCTTAGGTTCTCCCCAAGTCCTCTATCCCCACTGCAGATCTAACCTTAGGGCCTTGTGCTTTGTAAGCAAGTCCTACCACTAAGTCACATCCTCAGCATCCAAGGGGCCCTCTGAGCCACCCCCAAAACCCCCCATTACTGGACTAGAGGTCTTCTTGGCTGCCCCACTGGCATCTAGCCAGGGACAATGCTAAACAGTGACAACTCACAAGACATCCACACAACTGAATCATCTGGCCCCAAATGCCAAAAGTTCTAAAGTTGAGAAACCATGGTTTTCATGTTCTCACTTCTTTTAAGAATCTGCCTTGGTCCCACCTGAAGGTGCTAATCCGTATTCTGTGCCTGGGTTTCTTAGGAGTGTCTCACTATCCCAGCCCTTAGCACACTGTAGTTTCTCCATTGTGGGCCACCACCTGGTGGCTTATAGGCTCCATGTGCAAAGAATTGCACAGGGATCTGGGCACCAGGCAGGCCTCCCACTTCAAGGGTCATAATTCAGTAAAACAGAGGGGCTGGGTGAGCTGCACTGAAAAGAACATACCCTGGTAACACCAGTGCAAGGGGAGACCTGCAAACCTTCACTTGTGGGCGAGGCCTGGTACATCGTGCAATGGCAGTAAGGGACTAGGAGCCATGGCTCTGTCAAACACCTTGGCTGACATGACATCTCAAACCATAAGCTACATGTTTCAGCAACATCTGGAAGAACCTTCAGCTGCAAATTGCTGACATAACTGTTGACCAAGTCTTGGGGCTGGCCACTGATCAGATAAATAAGATCAGAGCTGTTATCATACTTTAAAGTATAATCTCTACTTCTGTATTTCATCATAAAATTGTATTTAAATTTTTTTTTTAACCTTAAAACACTTTTGTGTGTGTGCACATTGTGGAAGTCAGAGGATAACCTGCAGGAATCAGTTCCACCATGTGAACCTGGGGATCAATCTCAGGTTGTCAGACTTGGTGGCAGCCCTTACCTGCTGGGCCATCTCCTGGCCCATGAATTGACTTCTTTCACCATGGAAACCTGGCTGGCCTGCCTCTGCCTCCTGAGTGCTGGGATTAGGTGTGTGCCACCACTCTGACATGAATTCTTTTTTTTTTTTCTTTTTTGAGACAGGGTGTCCTTGTAGCCCCAGCTGTCCTAGAACTATGGAGACCAGGCTGGCCTCGAACTTACAAAGATCCGCCTGCCTCTGCCTCCCAAGTGCCGGGATTAAAAGCATGCGTCACCATGCCCGGCTTGTTTGGTCTTTTTGAGACATGGTCTCCCTGTAGTCTCAGCTGAGAATTGACTCCCCCAAGTCATCCCTAACCTCCATAATAACATCTTGGCACTTGAGCCCCTCCCCCAGATAAAACAAAGCAAGCAGCACAACATGGGCTGTGGTGCTCACCTTTAGTCCCAGCACTCAGGAGGCAGAGAGGAGGGTCTCTATAGGTTTCAGGCCAAAATCTTGTTCTTCCATTCTTTACCTCAGTGCTATTGCATGAGAAATAGATGCTGCCCACAAACTAGAGACTGAACCCACAGCACTGGTACATGCTTGGCAAATGCTCTGCCTCACCCTGCCCCACCATACCTGATTTCTACACAGGGAAATTAAGGCTGAGAAGTTCAGAGACCTGCTCTGAGTCACAGAACTATTGGGCACAGAAGCTGACAATGACCCACAAGTTTGGCTTCTGAGGCCACACATTCTATATGGAGTCTTGCTGGTCTTCAATGCTGTGCTTAGTACTGCTAGTGTACACTAAACCCTTCTGCTGAGTGAGGGAAGCAGGGAGGCCTGGGGAAGCTGGGAGCCAAGGTGGAGTGGAATAAGGGACTCAGTACCTGCAGTAGGGCCAGGACCCAGGTGAGGCGGATTTGACAACAGTGGAGAGAAGAGCGGGAGATGAACACACCAGCCTGGTACAGCATCTGGTACCTGAGATGCAGGTAGGGAAGCTGCTCTGGATGTCTACTGGACCAGGCAGTCCACAGGTCCCCATCATCAAGAGGCCCTCCCAGCCCACTGCCCATCTGCCACCTGTCGACTTCTCTCACCAGCGGTACTGCTGAGCATGACTCAGGGATGTGTTTCGGAAAAACAGGAGCTCAAACTACAGCAAAGACCAGATAGGAGAGATGAGAGACAGGTGGGGACTTGTGACTCCATAGCTCTCTCCTCCCACATCCCCCTTCCAGCACCCCTCACTCACAAGTCCCTGGTTGATAAAATACTCTGCAAAGTAAACCAGAACCAAGGGGACGATGTAGTGCAACAGGCCCTGGAAGAGTTGAAAGAGTAAACGGAAGGCTGGAAATGGAGACTACCCATAGGGCACTCACACCCGCTGTCACCATCCGAACCTTGAACACTGTCCACCTTTCCTGGAGGGAGAGGTCCCAGCTAGAACCTACAGAGGAGTAGGGAGAGAGGGCAGAGGAAGACTGCTCAGCCAGAGGAACCAGCATACAAAAAGCAACCGGTCGCCATAACAGTGTGTGCATTATTTAATTGCCACTGACATGTATGTAGATATATACATACACTTTTTTTTTTTTTCAGTCTTTTTGAGACAGGGTTTCCCTGTAGCCCCAGCTGGCCTAGACTCACTAAGTAGATCAGGCAGCATCGAACTCACAGAGCTCCTCCTGCCCCTTTAATTATAAAAATAAATAAAAGTCTGAGGGCTGGAGATATAGTTCAATAACAGAGCACTTCCCTAATACTGGGATTAAAGGCCACCACGCCTGGCAACATGAACTTTTTAAAAATTATGATTTTGGGGCTGGAGAGATGGCTCAGCAGTTAAGAACACTGGCTGTTCTGGGAGAAGACCCAGGTTCAAATCCCAGCACCCATATGGCAGCTAACAACTGTCCGTAACTCCAGTTCCAGGGGATCTGACAGCCTCTTCTGTCCTCTGCAGGCATTGCACGACATGGGTGCACTTACCTACATGCAGGCAATATACACATACGCAGAATAAATAAAATTATTTTAAAAAAAAACCCCAAAACTATGACTTTTAAAACAGAAAGGGCTAGTCTATAGATCAGTGGTAGAGCTTTTATTTGCCCAACAATGTGTGTCCCTGAGTTCTATCCCCACCTCCAACAACAACAAAAGAGATGGCAGGTTGCCTACTTCATTCCAGGCTTGCTGGCTCTACTTTCTGTTTCTAGAATATCCAGGCTCATTCTTTCCATAGGGCCTTAGCATGACCTTTCTTCTGCCTGGAACCTGTTTACCCAGACATCCACAGGACTAACTCCTTGTCAGTCAAGTTTCAGCCCAAACATGTCTTTCAAAAGGCCTTCTTGATCCAGTAAGAAGGTTCAGTGGGTGAGGGCTCTTGCTGACAAGCCTGACCAACCTGAGTCTGATCCCAGGAACCCACAAGGTGAAAGGAGAAAACTGATTGCCACAGGTGTCCTGACCTCCACATTTGTGTAATGGCATGCCCCTCCCCTTCACCGCCCCTCTGTGGCTGGAGAGGTGGCTAAGTGGTAAAGAGCACTTCCTAATCTTACAGGGGACCTGATTTTGGCTTCTAGCACCAAACTGGTCAGATCACAAATGCCTATAAATCCAGATCCTGGGGATCCAAAGCCCTCTTCTGGCCTTTGTGAGAACGGACACACATTGCATACATTCACACATATACACATAAATAAAAACAAATCTTAAAAATTAAAAAAAGGATAGATGTGGTGGCAAACTCCTTTAATCCCAGCACTTGGGAGGCAGAGGCAGGCGAGTTTCTCTTGAGTTTGAGGACAACCTGGTTACATAATGAACTCTAGGGGAAGAGAGGCTACTCTGAAAAAACAATTTTTTAAAATAGAAATAAAAATGCCGGGGCTGGAGAGGTGATTCAGCGGCTAAGGGCACAGACTGCTCTTGCAAAGGACCTGGGTTCGATTCTCAGCACCCACATGGTGGCTAACAACCATGTGTAACTCCAGTTCCAAGGGAATATGACACCCTTTTCTGACCTCCACAGGCTGTTGCATGACACAAGTACAGTTACACACATGCAGGTAATACATTTATACACATAAAGTATTTAAAAAAAATGCCTTCTCTTAGAGCCTTCCATAAAGGAGCCCCAATCCTTCCTCATACCCTTAACTGTCACTTTCAGTCCTATCCCTATTTTATGTCTTGTGAAAATGTCCTGTCAGACACACTGCCTGATGTATGAGCCGCTCTCATGTCTCCACCTTGAGCATCACCATTGGCCAGCAGTCAGAATGTCTGACATGTGGTCAGTACTCAAGGAATATTCTGGGATACAGCACACCAACCCCTCCCCTCTCAACTCTATCCACTGTAAAGACCAAAATCCCAAGATACACAGCAACCCTGGGAGGGTCTGTGTCTCCTACCTGTCTTTGACTCGGAGGCCTCAGTGCCTATGAGGGGCTGCCGGGCAGCAGTCTCTGTCTCATCTTCCCTTCCAGAGTTCTGGGGCTCAGGAGATATGAGCAGTAAGAAATAGCTGGGATGGAACAGGAAACCAACAGTCAATGAGCCCCTGTCGGGCCAGAGATGTGCCCAGGTCCTTTAGGCCACTCCCTTCCACAGGGGTAAGTGTCTAAAGATGGGAACTCACCACCTCTAAGGCACCAGATCCCGTGCTGAAGAGCTTCGTATGTGGACAAATGTTACTTCCTTTTTTTTTTTAAAGACAGGATTTCATACTATGTAGTCCTGGCTGGCCTGGCTTGGAACTTGCTATGTAGACCAGGCTATCCTCAAACTCAGAGAGCCACCTTCTGAGGTTAAAGGCCTGCAGCATCAGGACTGACAAATGCTTCCTTCTTTGGGACCCAACTCTGTCTCCTTGTTTCTATCCAGGGCCTTCATCTGACTGCACCAGCAGGTCAATTCTGTTTCCTTATTATTACCCAACAACTGCTCTAGCTACCACTTTTTGTATGTCCACTTATTATGTGTGTATGTATGTATGTTTTGCCTGCATGTATCTAAGTACATCTTTGTTGTACAATGTCCACAGTGGCCAGAAAAGGGTGTCAGATCCCTGGAACTGGAGTTACAGATGGTTGTTAGCTGCCTTGTGGGTGCTGGGAACCAATCCTTTACACGAGTAGCCCATGTTCTTAGCTCTTAACTGCTGAGTCACCTCTCCAGCTACATATTTCATTTTTAATTATGTGTGTGTATATGTGTAGGTGAGTGCATGGGAGGGAGTACAATGCCCACAGAGGCCATTAAAAGGCATCAGACCTCCTGGAGCTGGAGTTATAGGCTGTTGTGGAGTTGCCTGGCACGTGTACTGGGAAACTGAACTTGGATCCTTGTGAAGAGCTACAACTGCTCTTAACCTCTAAGTCATTTCTCCAGCTCATAGTATGTGTGTGTGTACACACATGTGCCTGTGTGGAGGTCAAAGAACAACTCAAGGGAGTTGGTTCTCTCCTTTCACAATGTGGGACCGGGGATTGAACTCAGGTTGTCAGGCTTGGCAGCAAGAGCCTTTACCTGTTGAGTCATCTCACTGGCCCTTCATTTTTTAATTTTTATTAAATGTGTTCTTTGACAATTTCACACAGATATATAGCATTTTGATAATTTCCACCCCCCACTCTTTCCTGTCTCCCTTTCACACTGTCATCCCCCTCCCTGCCCCACAAGTCCCTTTCTCACATTTATGTCTTTTTGATTTGTGACCCACTAAGTTTAACCAGGGTCATCTATGAGATCATCACTATATTTTTTGAGCTAGGGTCTCAATATGTAGCCCAGGCAGGCTTTGAACTTGTGATCCCCTTGCTTCAGCCTCCCAAGTGCTGGGATTAATAGGTGTTCAGCACTGCAACTGGCCCGACTTCTTTTTTCTACCTTGCCTTGTCCTAAGCCATAATATGAAGTAATAAGCTTCACTGGCTTTTGAACATTGTTTTCTAATACACATAAAAATATAGAAATATAGCCAGGAGCTGGGAGTGGTGGTGCATGCCTTTAATCCCAGCACTCGGGAGACAGAGGCAGGCGGATCTCTGTGAGTTCAAGGCCAGCCTGGTCTACTTAGTGAGCTCCAGGACAGGTGGAACTATAGGGAAACCCTATCTCAAAAAGACCGAAAAAAAAAAAAAAAATACACAGAACAAATAAACCAAAGTCTACCCTTGTCCCAGTTCTAGTCTCTTGGAAAGCTCACTGTGCTGAATACTTCATATTCATCACCTCACAAGAAAAGGGTTTGAACCACTGTCATTTGTGATATGGAGACAACTGAGCATCAGTGAAGTATAACTTGTCTAGTGTCACATAGCTCAGCTAACAAGTCCTCATTCTGGGACTCAAATTGAGGGGTGGCAAGTGTCCAGAATCTGGGCTGGGCATGGTGGCACATGCCTTTAATCCCAATACTTAGGAGGCAGGGGTAAGATCTCTGTGAGTTTGAGACCAGCCTGGCCTACACAGTGAGTTCCAGTCCAGACAGGGCTACACAGTGAGATGGTTCAAAACAAACTAACAGTCCAGAATCCACATGCCTCCACGACAAGCTGAAGGGAGCTGAAAACTCTGATGAGAATCAAGTTCCTCTTCCCACCTTCTGTTCTGTGGGCCCAGGGATGCTCACCTGATCAGCAGCAGAGCCGGGATCCCCAACATTGAAAGTAAGGTGTGCTGGGGGGAGAGGCCAGCCTGGGTGAGGCCGAGGTAAGACAGCGACCCGAGAAGCCCCGAACCCCCAGTACCCGAGGACCACCAGGAGATCACAGCCCTAAGAAGAACACAGAAGCACTCAGGAGGATGAAGGCAGCAGGGGGCCAACCTTTCCACTTCTTTCCTGCCCTGCCTGCTTACCTGGGGTAGAAGGCAGTGAGAGAGAGGAAGGTGACCTCCCCTAGACCTGATGAGATGCTGGCCAAAACCACACCTGGGAGGATAAAGATGAGGTGGCCCTTAATGGACAGCCACAGTCCTCTATGGTGTTTGACCACAGCCTCATCTGCATCAGCTCAGGGGACTTAAAGCACATCTATCTGCCCATCTAAGGACTGGACAGGACAGGTTCCCATCTGAAGCAGAGCCAGCCAAGTCCCTCCTTCCACATATCCTCTCCCAGAGATTGTACCTCTATCCTCGCAGTTATTCAATCAGGAACAAGGACTCACCCTTTGTATCCTTTCCACCCCCATAGTTGGGTCTTATAGACCCTGTTCAGCCCAACCTACACTGTCAGTCTACCCATTCTTCTTAGTGACCCCCTCCAAATCATTCCCAAATCCCTCCCATCATTCCCTGTTTGGGGAAACTCTAATAAAAGTCTCCTTCTTCATCTCATTCTCTATTCTTTCTCTCTCTTTTTCTTTAGGGGGTGGTGGTGGTCTCACTATATAGCATTGGCTGGCCTGGAGTTCGCTATGTAGACTAGACTGACCTCAAACTCACAGAGATCCACCTGCCTCTGTCTCACAAATGCTGGGATTAAAGGCATGCACCCACACACCTGGCTTTCTTCTTGGTTTTGTTTTCTTTTTTTGGTCTTTTTGAGACAGTGTCTCTCTGTAACCCCAGCTGGCCTAGAACTCGCTATGTAGACCAGGCTAGCCTTGAATTCATAGAGATCCAACTGCCTCTGCCTCCCAAGTGCTGGGATTAAAGGCGTGCGCTATCATACCTGGCATTCTTCTTGTTTTTTTGAAACAGGGTCTTGTTGTATAGCCCAGGCTAGTCTTAACACACTAAGTGGCCTAGACTGGTGACAATCCTCTCCTGTCCCAGTCTTTGAAATTATGTATAAAAACACACACACACAGCATAGTAGTCTCCTGAGGCTACAGAAATATCCTTTTTCTCTGGGGAGCTGAGGAGATCACCCTGACCCCACCCCCCTATAGGGACTCTGTTGAGGCTTCTCTGGGCTCATCCACCTGACACAGAAGTGAACACTCACCACACAGGCTGATTGTCACTGACTGGGAAAAAGCAACCAGGATGAAGCTTCCAGCAGAACAAATTCCAATGACAAGGACCCGGGGGCTGAAGAAGAGATTGGGATGGACTTAGAAGGTCATCTACATGCTAGGTTAGCTATCTTCAGGCTACCACTCTGCCCTCCACTCTTTGACCCACCTCCTGCCACCCTGACCCAGACCTGTATGGCAGCAAATGAAGGCCAAGAGGAGCCAGGAGTTTGATGATGAGGGTGGGAAGGATGTCTGCCAGCAGTACCGCCTGAGACAGGAGAAGAGAATAAGAGCCTAGCCCCTCTCCCAGGGACGACTCTGAGCTTCAGTTTCCTCATCTGGAAAATGGGGAGGCTTTCAGTGTTCAGCTCACAAACTATCGTGATGGTGTTACCTAAGCTAATATATGCCACTCAGGGCGAGGCCCCAGCAACTAGCAGTCTTGATCATTTTAATCCTGACAGTCCCAGCTGGGTGCAGAGGGGTTGGGGATAGATACAAAGTCCTCACGAGGACCACATGGGTACTCACAGCTGTGGAGATGGAGTTGCAATCAAATCGAGATGAGCTGTTGTGAGGGACAGGTGTTGGGCCTGGGTCCACCTATGGGAGAAAAGATAAGGCCCAGTTCCAGCTCTGCTCTAACCTGAAGGACAGCTCTGGGTCAGCATCAGCTTCTTGGGGGTCTTAGTTTTTCTATGTGTACAATGAAGGAGGGTGTTTAGAGAAGTCTAACTAAAGGCCCATAGGCCAAAAATAGTCCCCCCAAATGGACATAACACATTTTAGAGCTTTTGTATAGAGATCTGGGTTTCCAGAAAAATCTCATCTGGGACCCAATGCCCTGTTCAATCTGCAAAGAAGAAGTTGTTCCTTTTGACACATGCACTTTCCAGTTCAGTAAGACAAGCAGTTCTCACTGGGGGTGATTTTATCCTCAAGGAACATTTATCACATTGGAGACATTCTTGGTTGTCACTCTAGGTTGTCAGGCATTGCTACTAGCATCTAGTGGGTAGACACACCAAATGCAACTAAATATCCTACAGTGTACAGGACTGACAAAGAGTCACCCAGTTCCAAATGGCAATAGGGTCCAGGTGTCAAATTTGCTATAGGCCAAAGTCTTACCCAGCCAGTTATTTAAGTTTGCTAACCTAGTACCCATTGCTCTCTTAAGGATCCCTCCTGCCCTGAGGGTATGGGAGACTAAGTACTTTAGCCCTCTTACCCTACCCATGGTTGCTTCATGAATTTTTTAGGGGGCCTCTGTTCCTAAGTGAGTCCTTCCTCTTCCCATGGGGACTAACCCTATGGTGGTAGTAAAGAGGGGCTCACTTACATGGCTCTGGTTCCTAGATGTCTGTTCCTGCCTTAGGATGTCATGGGCAGCACTTAGCATCACCACATATGAGAAGTTGTTGCAAAGGCCCAGGATCCTGGAATAAGAATAGATCTCCATTTCCTTTCTGGCCTTCCATCTATCCATGGTCCTTGCAGATCTCTCCCTTATCTGTGCCTTTCAAACACCACCGTTTTTTGCCCTCCACCACCAGTATCAGGGGTATAATAGAGGCTTTGGGATTAGATCTGGGTTCATGGCCAAGCTCCAAGCCCTTCTTCCCAGGAAGATATTCTTGACCACTCTCTCTTCTGAAACCTCCCTATGATTGAGTTCTTGGGGCATATCTCATCCACCAATGCACTGTGTGGTAGAGTAAAAACACCCTGGGGCTTGAAACCCAAAAGACTGTGTTCAACTCCCAGGTCAGTTGCTTCCTACACTTCAGTGGCCTTGGTATGTCTACTCATATGTAAAAGAGAGAAATAAGTTTATCTCCTGAGGACCTCAAAGAATGCTGTAGGGATCAAATTAACACCAAAGCTCTTTATGATCTCTAAAGGATCTTGTTCGCTCACACACATCTCCCAGAACTGTGGTCAGGGCTAAGAAAACACAAATTAAAAAACCTGCAGAGGACACAGAGCCCTAGACTAGCATGTGGAAGGCTCTGGTTTCACTACCCAGCACTGCAAACATAAAAACAATTGGGCAGCTGGCTGTGGTGCCTAGCACTTGAGAGGCAGAAGGGTCAGGAATTCAAGGGCTGTGCCCCACTGCACAGCAAGTCTGAGGCACATAATACCTTGCCTTTAAAAAAGGTCCAACTTGAGTTGGTTGGAAGAAAACATCAAGTAAATACTACAGACGTTACAAGGATCTGGCCAATAGGTGGAGGTGGTAATTAAATGTTATTTGGAAAATTCAACAGGTGGCCCGAGGGCAAACTAGTTTATTCATAAATATGGATTCAAGTTTTGACCCCCCCCGCCCGTCCTCCAGCAATACTTTTAACTTTTATAGAACTTTCAGGCCACTTACCAGAAGCCCACCGCATTCTTCCAATGGGCACTCTGATTATCCAACGAATGAGCTTGGGGCTCGGAGTCGTTTCCCTCTCCTGGGAGGAACAGAAGGCATGACCCACCCATTCAGGTGCGCGACCGCCCCGCGCGAGTTCTGTTACCGGGGAGTCAACTTCGCCGGACAGAGGTGGTCAGCCCCACGAGAACCGACAAGACTACTCACTCTCAGCAAGGCGCCCATACAAGCCCGCACAGCTTCCCATGGCATCAAGTTCGGGTCCCCCAAAGAGCCCAGAGTCAGGGCGCGCTAGGGCTTGGCCTCAACAGGACGGATGAGAGTCTGCGACAGGCGAGAAAGATCAACGGCGCGTGACCAAGCCCAGCAGCTGGGCGCTGCACTCGTCCGAAGCCAGACGGCCCATCAGCCGACCCAGAAGCCACAGCTCGAGCCCATCCGCGCCCCACCCGGTGGACTCTGGCTCCGCCCCCCAGGCCTGTACCTTTAAGAGCAGCTACATCGCAGAGGAGCAGGTTGGAGGGTCACGTGACAGTACCCGTGGGTCTCCCATCACGTGCTTGGAGGTCCTTCTACTTCCGAGTACCATCTTCTTCCGCGTTCTCAGCTGCGGATTGTTGGAAAGGGAGAAGGCCGGAGAATCCGGGACTCCCTGGTTTTGAACTGGAGCGGGTGGGAGCGTCAACTTCGAGCGGTGATTAGCAAGCGCCCAAGACGCAGAAGAATGCCAGCACTAGTCATGGCGCGGGGAGCTTCAG